CAGTTCAAACACACCAGCCACTCCTTGGAAGGAAGGTTGGGCAATCTACTTCTGTAGTGATACTGCCTCGGAAACCCAAGGACGGGTCGCTATCAGTTGGGTCCGACTTGATGGCACATAACAACAACAACAACACTCGAATCCAGTGAGGTGTAAAGCGAGCACAGAGGAGGCATCCAGTCAATGCCCGTTATTTCCTTCTCCACCACCGCTAGCCCCTATTTAGGAGACACTCCTAACTCCTCATTTAGCCCGAAGGCAGAGACCCTATTTTTACTTCCTCTTCCTGACTCCCTCAATGGCACCCACTCAGGGCGTGGACACAACAGGCCCTTGACCCACTTCTGATGCAGTAACAGGATGCAGGTGACTCTCAGACGGAGGTGATTCCTCTCCTGCGTTTTATAGATGTGGAAACTGAGGCCTGGAGAGGGCAGGAATTGGCCCCAGCTCCATGGGAAGAGTTGGTGTTTTTGAGTTGTGGTGCTGGTGAAGAATACTGAAAGTACTATGGACTGCCAGAAGAACGGACAATCTGTCCTGGAAGAAGTGCAGCCAGAATGCTCCTTGGAAGCGAGAATGACCAGACTTTGTCTCACGTGCTTTGGTCATGTCAGAAGGGACCATTTCCTGGAGAAGGATATCTTGCTTGGTAAAGTGGAGGGTCCGTGCAAAGGGGAGGGCCCTCAACAAGATGACACAGTGGCTGCAAGGATGGGCTCAGGTGTAGCCAGGATCATGAGGCTGTGTTTTGTTCTGTTGTACATATAGGGTTGCTATGAGTCAGAGACAACTCGACGGCACCTAACAACCACCACCACCACAGTAAGTCAGGCAGAGCGATGGATGGGTCCATGTGTCCTCTGCTTCACCCCTTCCCCAGTCCTTGGCTGGCACTGGGGTGAGGCTTTGCTCTTTGGTGTAGGTGCTCAGGGACTGGCAGGCAGGCATGTTGCCCCCCCCCCCCTTTTGCTCTCTGTGCTCCAGTTGCACTGGCAATCTTATAGATCCTCAGATAAACTGAGCTCTGGGCCACCCCAGGGCCTTTGCACTTGCTACTACTCTTCCCACAGCTCTTGACCTGGCCACCTCTTCTTGCCTTTCAGACCTCAAATGGACATCACCTCTTCACAGAGGCCTTCCTGGACCACTGTGTCTGAAGTGAACCCTCTGTCATTTTCCTATTCCTACCTCCTATTTATTTTCTATATTTGCAATATTTAGATTACATTTTAATTTTTCTTGCCATTCTGTCCACTAGTGTATGTCTTGTTCACTGCTCTGTCCCCATCACCCAGCCAGGTCCTCAATACATACTTGCTAAGTGAATGAATAACTGTGTGAGTGAATGAGTGAGCACTATTATGTGTCAGGCCTGGGCGTCCACCAGCACAGTGACTCATGACTTCCCTGAAAACCAGAGCCCAGTCTCCCCATTTTGCAGACCAGGAAAGGGAGACTCAGAGAGGTCACACAGGGTAGAACAAGGCCAGTAGACCTCCCTGCCTCCAGGATGTACCAGAACCAGAGCTGCACATTCTCATGAATCGAAGGCAAGAAAACCAGATTCTAGATTCCATTCTCTGAGAGACTGCTCCATCGAAGGATGCTGGTGTTGCCAAGGTAACGCAGCTAGCTTTCCGAAGCACCTTTAATTGGGGAGATGAAGGTTGACACAGAAAAGCCTGGGAAAAGAGGGTTGAATCATCCCAGCCTCCCCCCCCACCTCGATGAGGCCCCTTCTCCCTTGCCTGTGGCTGCCTGTACCTCATCTCTGGGGTATGCACACAAACTCCCTCCCCTGGTGTAGAGATGCCTTTGCTGGATTATTTTGTTTCTCTGCAGAGGTCTCAGGAACAATGTGTTCTGCCCATCTGGCTCCAGTGGGAAGGACAGATAGGTCTTTGGAGACCAGCAGTCTCCTTCAGCCCTGGATACAGGCAGAAGGGGCATCAGTGGCAGGTGTCAAGCTATCCCCAGAGAGCTCTGGATGAGGGAGGCAGCTCATAAAGGCAGGAGTGCTGGGGGTGGTAATGTCTGGGCCACCTTGGATAAGACCCCTTCTCTCTGAGCCCCACTTTCATCACCGTTCATGTGTGGGGAAGGCTAGTGTGATGCAAGGAGAGGTACAAAATTCTTCCCAGAAACCTGTAGGTGCAAGTATCTTAGAAGCTAGTTCCCGAGAGCCGTAGTCCTCCTGGGCCCAAGGCAACACAGTCATGTCCCTACCCCCTCAGGGACCTGCTGCTGCCCAATGCTCTGTGGCTGGTCTCGTGTGCAGTCATTGAGACTCATCATCACCTGTTCTTGCCTGCCTAGCATCCCCACCTCCTAAAGACAGTGCCTCAGTTTCCCCACCGCCTGTCTACAGGATTTGGGTGGGACTGGCCCCACCTCCTGGTTCCAGGCATAGTCATGTGACCCAGGTCTTGTCAATCAGAATCACAGTGATAATTTCAGGGATAGACACAGGACCAATCCTGGCTGGTGAGAATTCTGACTTTGCAGGAACCACTGGGTCAGGGGGACCCTGTCTTAGGGATCCTGAGCGGGGAGGGGGACATGAGCCAGAGTGCTGGACCCATCTTGTCAGAAGAGAGCCTGACTGAGAATGAAGTCGACATGGTGGGTGGCAGGACCAAGATGAGGAGAAGGACTGCATTGGAGCCCCTGGATCTAACTGCACCTGAAACCACTCCTAGGCCTCCAGGTTGTGTGCGTCAATCCATTCTTAAGACAGGGTGTCTATCTCTTGCATCTGAGTTCCTGGCATGGAGGAAGAAGGAAGGGAAGAAGGAAGGATGACTATTTAAGAAGAGGTGTCTGAGGGGAACCCAAATTGGCTTCTTGGTCTCTTTAGGAAACTGGTTCAGGAAGAGAAGGCAAAATTTGGCCTTTACCCCACACAGAGGAGTTCTGTTCCTGGGCTCATAGCTTCATCTTCTTCTCTCCAGCACACAGCCAGCCTATAAGCCCTGCAGAAATGCTGTGGATACAAAAATAAAACATATTTCCCTCCCCTGGGTCGAGAAAGGGGGTGGCATGTGCTGGGGGACCGTGCTCCTCACCCAGCCACCTCTTTGGTGCACCACTAATACTAGGCACCTGCTTCAGGTCAGGCTCTTTTGAGACGTTTCGATACCTCATCTCATTTTTTTCTTGGCACAGCCCAGCGAGGAGGGACTATTATAGTCTCTGTTTTACAGACAAGACAATCGAGGCTTTGACAATTGATGTGACAGTTGAGGCTGAGTCCCTGGTCTAAGTCCTAGAGCTGAAGTGGGCTCGTCTGACTCTGAAGCCCTGCTCACGGCACCACACTGCACATAGCAAATGCTGAATAAAGGTTATCCTGGGCAAATGCTGCAAAGGCAATTTGAGCTTTCGGGGCAGCAGCTGGCCCCTAAACACATTCCCCGTCCTGCCTGATATGCCACCATTAGCCACCACACCATTTAGGTCGGGGGGGGGATGTTGTTTCCTTCAAAGTATGTGTAGATTTTCTCGGGATTGGCTGAGAGTTGGACCCGGGTTGGGGTGCAGCAGGTGGGATGAAGATGTCCCCTCTCCGTTGACCCAGTCTCATCCTGGAGACCTTCTTAAGACAGAGGCTAGACCCAGGTGTTGGCCAATGATGACATGGCTGTGGTGGCTCATGAGGGCTGAGGGTGACATGGTGATTGGGGGGTGGGGCAGAGTGGTGGTGGCTCCTCTGTGACTCCAACTTTGACAGCAGCTCTGAGGAGCCCCTGGTCTCCTTCACTCAGGGTCCTCTAGATGCAGCATGACTGTTGGATGAGGCAGGGAACGGGGCAAGGGGTTCTGGCTTAGAGGCAGGAAGGATCTGGACCTGCATTAGAGCCTGGATGAGCTGGGTTACAAGGAGTTCTGAGGGCAGCCCACAGGCAGAGATCTGGCTTCCAGGGCCTGGAAGAAGCCCTGGAGGACATCAGCCTTCAGCTGAGTCTTAGATCTTGCCTCAGGGATGGTGTGTGTCTGTCTTAACACAAAGTTTCCTTCCAGTTGTTCTTGGAGGCTGTTTGAAGCTGTCACAATGGTCCCTAAAGCCAGAAAGGGTGGGCATAGCTGAGGGAGGAGGATGGGGCCCTGGGGCTCCTCCTCATATCGGGATAGGACCAGCTTTGCCAAGGGCAGTCACAGCCCCAAGAACTGCTCCAAGACCAACAGGGCCCATTTTCAGATAAGCATATTTGGGGAAAGTTGCCCATTCAAACTCCTTTGTGGACAGTTGCAATGCATATGACCTCATTAAAGGCTCTGACAAGTCCCTCAACTAAGAATGCTTTTTCACTTTGGTTGAATGTGATGTTTCCGTCTCTCACCTGGTTTTCAGGGGGAGTCTTAGTGCGATGCCCTTGTTATCCCTATGAAACACTACAGACAACATGCAGGATAGAGGAAACCCTCCTGGATCTCCTGAAGCCCCCGGTGCCAGGTCTGAGTGCCAGATGCTAGGCCTAGGGACAGGGTGGAGTCACGGGGGTGGGGCAGATCCCGATTCCCATTGAGGGTTGGCGAATGTAGTCCCTTCAGCCTTGAAAAGAAAGTCCAAGGGCATCTCAAGGCTAAGACAGCTCACTGATGAGTTGGAACAGGAGATAGTCTCCCTGCCAACCCTAGGGACAGAATCTGGCCTCCATATGGACAAATTATCTTCCTACCTGCCTGAAATTCCACCATTAGTCACATATCCATTTGAGAAGCTGAGTTGAGTCTGTTCTGAGCTCATTCAGAGCATTGTGACTCTCATGCTTGCAGGAAGGATGAGGGGTACTGTAGAGGCAGGGACCCCAGAATCCATCATTTCACAACTTGAGGTGGCAGGTGACTTTTCTGGACTTCTGGGCAAGGAGGGTAGGCTCAGGGGGCCCAGGGTATCCAGGACAAGACCCTGGTGCTGTGTCCCATGTTTGGGTCCAGTGGCCCTGTGGACACCATGTTTGTGCCTCTTCTGTGGTCCAGCCTCCCACCTGCTGTTACTAGATGCCCACGGGCCGCACCATCATGCGTGTGGCTCGCAGTGAGTAGCTGGGTCCCTGGAAGTAGTGCCAGCGGATGCCGTTGAGCTTGCGCACATGGTGGCGGGCTGGGTAGTAGATGCCATTGAGGTTGGAGAGGCCACAGGCGTCAAACCACCACCCTGGTGGGAGGAAGAGGAAAGAGGTTTTGGGGAGTGGGGTCCCAGCCCAGTGGCTGGGCCAGAGTTGGTTGGAGGCTGTCCCTCTGCCTCCCCTGCCCAAGTCTCCTCCATCCTGGTCCATGGAACATGGGGGATCCCCAGGCCTCGGGGGGGGGGGTGCGCCCACGAGGCACTGTGCCTTTCTAGGGCACTTGCTGGGATCCTACTCCCAGTGTGACTCAAGCCTGGTCTCTGAGGGAAATTGGCAGTACCAGTGTTAGTGGGAGGTGAGATCTCAGAGGGGTCCTAAGGACCTGGTGGAGGCAGGTACAGGTGGGCCACACAAACCTGAAGGTAGACAAGGCCCTAGCCTACACCCACCTCTGGACAGCACTTGGGAGCCCAAGGGTTTAGGAGGGGAGGGAGGGGCCCAGCCAGGTGAGCCTGTGGGTGGGTGAGGCTCCATCCACCCTCACCCACCTCCAGACAGCATCTGGGCACATTTGCAGAGGCAGTTGTCATTGTCAGCGTCGCGGGTGCTGAAGTTGGTGCCCTGCAGGACCAGGCTGCTCTGGCGCCCTGCCGAGCCGCTGTACCCACTCAGGGAAAGCCTGGGGGGTGCCGGGAGGAGGCAATGGGAGAGGAGTTAGTCAGGTTGGGGCTGTGCCCCCAGGGGCTGAGGACGGGCCCTCTCCAAGAGGCTTTCTGCCAAGCTGGGTCTCAGCACCAGTTCGAAGAGCCTGGGCTGTTTCCTCTCCTGGACCGCCCTCCCTGCCCCCAGATACCTCCCAGGGGCAAAGCACCTACTGTGTGTCTGACCTCCCTCACCTCCCTTACTCTTTATCTCTGAGTCTTCGAGAGGCTGGGAATGACCCCAGTAATGACAATAATAATGAGGGCAATTGTATCTTTTCAGTTGTATTTTGTTGACTGTGCCAGGCAGGCATTGTTCTAAGTGCCTTGCTAACTAACTGTTCTAAGTGCTTACTTGTTCTTATATAATCCTCCCTACACCCTATTGTTCCCACTTTACAGATGAGGAAACTGAGATCCCAAGAGCTAAAGGGATCTGCCTAAAGTCTCAGAATGAATGAGAGTCAGAGCCAGACTGCAGCAGCCCAGAGTGACCTGACATGGGAACCTGTGTGCATTTTGCTCCTAGCTGACCCCGTGAGATACCTTCTTGCCCCATCACAATTCCCCACATCAGCCCACCTCCTCCAGGAAGTCTTCCCAGACCGTACCAGTCCACATGGGTTTGTCCCTCTGGGTACCCCCAGCCCTACCTCTCTGACATCTGCAGACAGCTGGGGGAAGGTTTATATTTCTCAGCCAGGCTGACAGGCCCTGGCTGGCAAACCTGGGTCTGTATGATGATCGCAACCATGAACTCTGGGGGTCTGAATGATTGGGTTCAAAACCCAGCTCTGCTACTAACTAGCTGTGTGAACATGAGTAGATTGCTTCATCTCTCTGAGCTTCAGTTTTTTCATCTGCTAAAATGGTAGTAATAGTAACAGTGAAGATTCTATGACTTCAGTGTGTGAAGTGTGCAGAGCAGTGTCTGGCACATGGTGAGGACACAACACATTTCAGTGTGTGTTGTTATTCGCCCTTAGCACACAGCTGGCACAGCCTTCCACTGAGCTTGGCTGGACAGAGTGGAGGGAGCTTGTGGGAGGGGCTGGGCAGCACTGGCAGCTGAGGTGGGGAGCCAGTTTGGGAGGAGTTAGGAAGTTCCTACTGGGGGGAGGCGAGTGGATGCCAGCTGTCGCCAGGACAGCTCCAGGAAGCTGTGGCTCCTGCAGCACAGGATCATGGAGATGGCCCCGTTGGGATCCAGAGGGCATGAGGGGCTTGGGCATGTGGCCTGGCACAGTCCCCACATCTCTGCACAAGGCCTCTGTCTATCTGTGGTGGGCAGGGGCATGGCCTCAGGGGCCAGAAGCCCTGACTGTGCCCTTTGGCATGCCACTCTGGGCTCAGATGATTGGTGTTACAAACCCTCCTACCAAGGAGCACACCTGGCCAGGGCCTCACTGGGTAGGGGCAGGGAGACTGGCCACCCACTATACGGCCCAGCTTCTCCTTTTGGCCATTTGAAGGTTTGGGTGAAGTCAGTTCAAGGCTAGGCTCAAGGCTCAGACTGAGGTTTAGGGTCATGGTCCATCTGGAGCCAGTAGAATCAGGGTTGGACAAAGCCAAGTAGCCTTGCAGGGTCACTCCAGCAGCACTGGCCCCTCTATTGTCCCCAAGTCCTCAGCTCAGGCTCTGCCTCTCTCCCCTCCCCTCTGAGAACCAGGATGAGAACTTTTGATTTTGGGGGGACCCACAATCCATGGACCAGGAAACCCCTACTTGATCCGTTTTGAGATGCACTTTTGACATGTTATGGGTAAGGCCCGAGGAACCCCAAACCCACATGTCTCTTGAGTATCCCCAGGGTAGACATACAAGCTGTGTTTCCCACATGTCTGTGGATCTACATGTGAGTCTATGTGTCTGTAGTTCTGAGTATTTGGACACGATTCCTTATGTCGAGTGTGAATGTGTGTGGTTGTATATACGTTTGTGCTGGAGTATATACTGTTGGTCAGAGTTTTTGCTCTGGAATCTGCCTTTGTGCCTGGGATTGTGTGTGTGTGTGTGTGTGTGTATGTGTATGTTCACTTCTGTGTGGCTACTTGCACACACATCTGGGTGTGCCTGTGTTTGGTGTGTGCTTGTTTGTGCAGCTCTACTGAGCACTTGTGCTGTGACAGGCACAGGTTGGCACTAATCACTGGGGAAGAATCAGACTGGGGCCCCCCTCAAAGTTGTCCATAGTCCAGTGTGGTGTGTCTGGGGGTGTGTGTTTGTGTGCTCTATAGCCCTGTAGTCCATGCATGTGCCCCAGGGGTCTGGTGCATCCTTCTACTTGTACACTCGTGTCTGTGTGTGTAGCACTTGTAGTGGGTCTCGTGGTGGGCACTGCTGGGGGAAGCGTGTACATGGTGTTTGTGTGTACCTGTGTGTTATCTGTGTCTTCCTCCCTCCACCCAATCCTGCTGGCCATCTTCTCTGCAGGCTTTTGCGTGCTCCTAGCCTGGCTCCAGAAGACCCCATTACTTCATCTGACCAAAAAGGGAGCGGCCCTACCCTGACTCCCATTACTTAGCTGCTGACTGCCCACACTGCCCAGCCCTGGGCTTCCCGAGGGGATCCTCCCCACCTCCCCTTCTGCTTTGCCCTGTGGGGTGGGAGCCGAGAGGCCAGCATCTGTTCTGTCACTCTGCCCCTGACTCTCCTCTGGCAGTTTCCAGGCCCCCTTGCAGTTTCCATAATCTCCAGCCTCAGCCTTCCAGGCTTTTCCTGAATCAGGGGGAACTCTTCCTGGGGTCCCAGCATCCCTGTTGACCTTGCTCAGGTCTGGGGTGTCTGTGGCCCAACTGGATGTCAACTCCCTGTTGCTTTTTCAGAACGTTCCCTCTGCCTGGGTGGCCCTTCCTAGCCTCTCTTTGCCTGGAGAATGCTCGCTCATTATAGGCATCACCTCCTTCAGGGAGGCCCCTTTGATTGAACAAGCCCTTCTCTGGCTCTGGTGCCTCCTGTGCTTTCTTTGTAGGCAGCTCCTGTCTCACTGAGGGCATGGGATTGCCTTATGGGCACACCCACCCCCAGACACACTTCACTGGGCTATGGACAACTTTTGGGGGGGCCCATTCTGAGTCTTCCCCAGTGATTAGCGCCAACCTGTGCCTGCCACAGTGCAAGTGCTCAGTATGCCATTATTATCATTTAGGGCTCTGTAGAGGGTCTTTTATGGGCTGGGCATAATAGTCTGGAGCCATGGACAGGGAACTCTCCATAGCTCAGATAAAAGCCAGAGGCAGCACATTAAATTCCTGGATGACAACATGGAAAGGGGTTCCAAATTTAACACATCTATGTGTTTGTATAAGGAGCCCTGGTGGTGCAGTCGTTAAGTGCTTGGCTGCTAACCCAAAGATTGGTGATTTGAACTCACTATCTCCTCTGCAGGAGAAAGATGTGGTAGCCTGCTTCTGTAAAGATTACAGCATTGGGAACCATATGGGGTGGTTCTACCCTGTCCTGTAGGGTTGCTGTGAGTCAGAATCAACTCAAAAGCAATGGGTTTTTTTGGGGTGGTAGTGCTATATGTTTGTATGTTGTTGTTGTTATTAGCCATTGAGTCGGACTCGACTCATAGAGACCCCTCCTTGGGTTTCTGAGGCAGTATCACTATGGAGGTAGATTGCCCAACCTTCCTTCTGAGGAGTGGCTGGTGGGTTTGAACAGCCAGCCTTCTGGTTAGCAGTCAAGTGCCTTAGGCACTATGCTACTAGAGCTCCTATATGTTTGTACAGATGGGCATAAATGACATATATATGCAGAACTGTTGTTTTTGTGTTTGCATACATTATGCTTGTATATCTCCAACATTTATTTAATACTTACTATGTGCTAACTGCCTTACCACACATTATATCAATTATGACACAGATACTGTATTTTACAGCTAAGGAAACTGAGGCACACAGAGGTTAAGAAACTTGTCTAAGGTCACAAAGCCAGTAAGTGGTGGAATCAGGATTTATAGGCATGCAGTATGACTCCAGGGCCCATGTTCTTTAGTTCAATGAGATATTTTCTTTTGCCTGAGAAAAACTGCACATCCTGGACTTGGGCCATGGAAGTTGCTGCCCAAGAACTGGTTTTGGGAGATGAGTTTAAGTGCTACATGTGTAGGGAAGACTTGAAAAGTTCCCTTAGCTTCCTCTTATGTGATTGCCATGTACCATGGGAATAGGTGAACAAGACAGGCCTGGCTCCCACTCACAGAGAGGAGGCCACCTAAGGGCGTGAGGGGCTTCCCTGGGGATGGCAATTATAATATTATTTTCTGAGTGTTTACTATGTGCTGGTCCCTATGTATTTATAGATACCATTTCACTCAAGCATCACATAACATCCTGAATAAAATGGGCATGTCTAGGATACCCATTTTATAGATGAGAAGGTGGACAGCCTTTCTCAGAGTCACCCAGGTAGACAGGACCATCCTATCTAGGGTCAGAAATTAAACCTAGGATTTGGTAGTAAGTGGCTTAAACAAATGTCTGCTCACTGGTTGGAAAAGGGATCATCCAGCTCCACCCTGCCTAACACAGACCCAAACCCAAAAACCCAACTGACTACATGGAGTTGATTCTAACTCATAGCGACTTCTACTGGGTTTCCAAGGTGGTAAATCTCTACGGAAGTACATTGCCCCATCTTCCTTCCATGGAGTGGCTAGGGGTTTGAATCGCCAGCCTTCTGGTTAACAGTCAGATGCTTTAGGCACTATGCCACCAGAGCTCCCAGGGATGTTTTATTCAGCTTGGGCTTTGCATTGTAAGGGAGACATTATTGATTAGGGTGGGTCCCTAAGAAGGGGTGTGAGAACCACACAGGAGAAGGAACCAGGGGGTATTTAGTAAGAGAAGGGGGTGGGAGTGCATCACTGAGAAGCTCCCAGAGGTGGAATTAGGCATAAGGTGCAGGGGACAGAGAGTCATTCAGAGATTCCTGGGGAAGAACTGGTCTCCCCATCAGTTGGGGCAGTCCACAGGCTGTGTGTGATCACTGGGCAGGGAGGGGATTCTAGCAGCATATGGGGAACGAGATGACTGGAGGTTCTTTGTGGTCCCATGAGTGTGAGTCTACGAAAGCAGCTCTGTCTTGGTTCAAAGATCACCAGGACCAGGCTTATCTTCAAGATCCTTGAAAAAGGATCAAAATTGGAGATCCTAGATGGAGTGGGAGAAGAATATGGAACAAAATGCAAAATTATTAAAAAGGCCATGCTTACTGGTCTGACAGACTGGTGAAATGCCTGAGACAATGGTCCCTAGTCACCTTTCGGGCCTGGAATTGAACTTACTGCCATGGCTTAACTTCCAGCCAAACAATAGAGAGGCCTACAGGGTGAACAATTACACCAGGGCGGTGCACTCCTTAGAACAATCAGCAGTGAGAGATTAGAGGGGCAGCATGTGTGTAAGTAGATAGCTCAGAAGACAGGAATGCATAGGAAAGAAGGACACAGGGCAAGGGAAACCATAGGGAGGAAATGGGAAGAGAGCTGTTACATTGTGGGAAGCGCACTCAATGTCACAAAACAAATAAACACAAAAAGATCCTTGAGGTTCGGAGAAGCAACATTATGTAGTGGAAAGGCTGTGGGTTTGGGCAGCAGGAGACCTGAGTTCAAATCCAGACTCTACTTAACTTGTAAGAGGGACTTAAGCTCTAGAGCCTAGCCTCAGTTTCCATACTATTAAAGTAGATACAGTAATGCCTACCTTGGGAGTATTAATTGGAATAATATGCCTAGAACATAATAGGTGCTCAATAAATGCTCATTCCTTTTCCTAAACACACCAGGCTGAGGAAGGGTTGGAAGCCTTGATGATGTTTACAATATCTTCACATTTAAGCCCATCCTGCCATTGAAGAAGAAAAGCTAGAAGCAGAGACACTGGAACGTAGACTTGCCCAAGGTCACAAAGGCAGCTGGAGCAAAGCCAGGATGAGCCCAGATCTCTGACTCCCAGCCCAAGGACCTTTTTACCTCACCCCAGGTCAGGCTAGGCAAGTCACCTCCCCCTTCTGGGCATCTGTAAATGACTGCCTTGGGGTAACTGAGCTTGGAAGGCCCCTTCCCACTCCTGGAATGGCGTCAGCAACATTTTCTCCACCCCACCCAGCATCTAGGATGTGCTGAGTGCTAACCAACTGCCTCCAGATCCCGTGACGTGCGTCCAAATGGGGGACAGATGGTAGGAACGGGAGACGCCCAGGGACTGACCTTTGGTGTAGACTGTGTAGCTGCTAGCCCAAGGACTGCAACCCACTGGTCAACCCACCCAGCTGCCTGCCTGCGGCCTCCTCCTGGCCCGGGCCCCAAGCCCACCTGTACAGCTGCCCCTCGCTGCCCAGCTGAAAATGCTCGTACTGGGCATAGGCCTCATTGCCTTCCCAATCTCGCAGCTCCACGCGCAGAGAGTAGGCCGCCCCGCTGGTGAGCTGGTGCACCACCTCATTGCCCAGCCAGTGTTCACCGGCAGGGTCGCCGAAGCCCTGCAAGGAGGAGAAGGCGGGGGTGGGCTGAGGTCTGGGGAGGGAGGCTACAGCTCTGACTGTGGAGCTGGGCTGGGCCAGGCTCTGGGACCATTTGTCCAAAACCACTTTGTCTAATGATCAAGTTCATAAGTACAATGTGGGCAGGCCTGAGGGTGGGAGCTCCTAACCCCTAGAGGAAAAACACTAAGGCTTTTGTAAATGTAAAGCTTTGTTAAAAATAATTGAAATCACATTTCTATAAAGTTTAAGAACAGGCAAAACTAATCGATGGTGAGAGAAGTTAGAATAGTGACCATCTTTTTGGGGGTATTGATGGCCCAGGGGGGTTCTCCAGGGTGCATATCTGATGGTGGTCACATGGGTGAACACACATGTAAAATTCCACTGAGCCATACACTTAAGAGTTATGTCTTAAGCCTCAAAAAAAATTTTTTTGAAAAAATTTTAATAAGCTATATAAATGGTAGAGAAAACTTTGTTCAGTGTCAGCGCATTCATCTGAAAATTTCAGCAACATAGAAATAGAAAGGTAAGAATTCTATGAGTATCAGTAGGAGACACCCAAAGGTGATGAGAAACCAATAAAAAGAAAAAAAATCTTGTCATGGAATTGATTCTGACTCACAGCAACCCTAGAGAACAGAGTAGAACTACCCTAGAGGGTTTCCAAGGCTGTAATCTTTATAGAAGCAGACTGCCTCATCTGTGCCCTGCAAAGCGGCTGGTGGGTTCAAACTTCCAACATATTGGTTAGTAGCTACGGGCTTAACCACTGCACCACCAAGGCTCCTTTTTTCAGAAACCAATACCCTGGTCGAAAACAATGATTCAGCACCAAGGACAGAGCACACCCAAGCCCCCACTCCCCATTTTAGTCATGCTATGCCGCTGATTTGCCTAATGGCCAATATTCAGCACTCTTCTGTGTATTTCTGTATCTGAGTACCCTATTTATTTTTGCCATTTTACTGATTGTTTAGAACTCAATTGGTTTAAGAACACTCATAGCTTAATTTGGAATTATTTTTTCCATGTTTATCAACTAAACAACAAGCAATACACACATAATAATATAGCTGTATTTCCTTGTGGGCTTCTTTTTCTATTTCTTTTGAAAACTTTAAAAGGCTTTTAAGTCAGCTTGCCAAAAAATCCTTTATTCAAACTATAATTAAAATTAGAACACAACTGGGCATGTAGTGTTTGAGCCAGTAATTCCCCAATGAAAGCATCTCTCCTGCAGATATAGTCATGAATATGTGCAGAGACAAGAAAATTCATTTAATCAATGTAGCCAGAGGTGGGCAGGGGAGATTTACTTTTCTGCTGAACTTCCTAAACTTTTTTTTTTTTTTTTTAGCAATGGATATGCATTATCTTTTCAAAAATTAAAACAAAAATAAAGTTAAAATTTTACTCTTAAAGCATGTCAGAACTTTCGAAAAGGGGGTTCAAATTTAGGTAAGGAGTTCCTAGAGACAAATATGTGGGAGGCAAGCCTTTTGGAGAGTGTCTGGCTGTGGTGGGCTGATTGTTTCTGGGAAGGGGTGAGGGCAAACCAGTCCCCTACCCACGACCCACCCCTGCCCCAGGTTTCAGGCTGAAAAGCCCCTCCCCAGGGCAACAGCTTTACCTGTCTGTAGTCCTTCCAGTTCCGCTGGAAATTCACACTGCCATTCTCACGGCGTTGGATGAGGGTCCACCCGCCTCCACTGGCCTCCATGTCACAGAACACCTGGAAGGGACAGGAGTGGATGTGGGGGAGCTGGAAGCCTGTGGAGGCAGCTAGCAGCCAGGGGTGGGCTGGCAAAGTGTGAGCTGACTGATGAAGCCTTATAGGGTAATAGGTGAGCCTGGTGGTCAAGGGCATCAGAAAGAGCCAGGTTGTAATTCCATCCACGGTTGTAATTTTTCTAAAGTGACTGTCTAGTGATGCCTTCCCTGAGTCTCTCTTTCCTCATTTGCAGAATGGGGCTGTTAATACCTTAACCTCTTTATGCCCCAGTTTCTCATCTGTAACCTAAGGTTATTGGAAGAAATAAATGAGATGAATCATGTAAAGTGTTTAGAACAGAGCCTGGCACATACTAGGCACTCAGTAAATGAAATCTTCTCACTTGCTATTATTACAGACTGCTATAAGGATTAAGTGATAGATGGAAAGTGCTTAGTGCACAGTGTGGACTCAGGAAATGCTATCCCTACGATTATTCACAGCACAAATATTTTCTGAGCACCTACTATGTGCCAGGCTCTGTTCAAGCACTGGGAATACGAGTAAGACAAAGTTCCTTCAAAGAGCTCACCATTCACCACAATTAAATCTTCCCGTCTAGTCTATGTCCACATATTATTTTTCCAATCAGTTCAGTTCATATTCAGTGAGCCCAGACATGGGGTCTGGCCTTGTACTGGACAAATCAGAGACAAATCAATATATGGGGCTGGTTAGGTTTGGAGGTGGGGGACTATGACAGGCAGCAGATCATGGATCATGAATGAACATTTGAGTGGTTACAGGGAGAGTCTCTTAGAAAGTGTCATTGGATAACCCTGGAAGCCTCCCCAGAGGAGGTGGCACTAGAACCGGGCCTTAGATGATGATGTGCCTATCAGGTAGAGATGACTGCAAAGGGCATTTCCAGTGGAATGGAAAGCAGGATTGGAGGCTCTGGGATGGAAAAAGCCTGATCTGGGAGAGGAAAGACAAGTGGCATCTGTTGTGGGGGTCTCAGAGGGTGCAGTAAGGGAAACTGAGGCCCAGACAGAGGAAAGGACTGGCTCAAGTCCCCAGGGCAAAGCTGAAACTTGAGCCTGGGTGTCTTGTTTCCTAGTCCAACTCTTTCCTTTCTATCAGTGTTCCTCAATTTTCATTCACTCACACCTATCTAAATTCCACAGTAGCTAATTTACTTAATTTAACATAACATATTTACTATAAAAATGGTGTCCTTTTTTTCACATAAATAAAATGTATTTTAAAAGGAAAGCATGTTAGTACTATAAATGAAAAACTAATAACACTTGCCTTTATTTGGAAAAATGTAAAAATGAATACAATGAAAACAATAATGCTATGAAATTCTAGCTTGAAATTGTAGGCTGATCCCTCTTTGTTAAAGGGGAGTTCAGCAGGCATGTGAGAAGGAGATAAGCTAGAACCAAACTGAGCAGATTCTCTGGCTAATCAGGAGCACTGGAAGGAAACTGAATAGGGGTGTATGGAGGCGGAAGACTGGCTAATTGTCCCTCACACTCTTCTGCTTCTGCGCCTGCTGACCTTCCACAGGCTCCCTCTGTCCTCCATCTCATGACTTGACCTTGAAATTCAGGGCACTCTTGGGAATGAGTCATTAAAGATGGTGGCACCTCTACCTGTCCTGTACCCTAATTTCCCATATAGAGCAGAGCCCCTATTTTTATGTGAATATGTGAATGTCTTTGTATAATCTTGTGTTAAGGCCCTGAAATTTCAGAGTCTGAAATTTCATTGTCTGTTTGTTACATCAGCTAGCATCACCTTAACCAACGTAGAACATATTCCACCTGAAAGCATTTCTGGAGAAGCAAAGAGAAGGATGAACTTCCAACATTGGGACCTTTTGCTTAACCTCATGATCTGAACCCTGACTCAGTGGGGAGTCCAGAAGGCAGTGACCATGTCTACCTTCTCTGGTACCTCAGGTGATGGGCAATGCCTAAAGCTGTTGGAGGGTGGAAGTCTGTCTGGCAAGCCCTTGGCTCAGCACCTTCTCATGGCCTCAGCCCCCAGGGAGACCCCTAACCTTTTTGGCCTCCATCACATTGGCCACGTGGATGGTGTAAGTGCCACTGACATTGGCCCCGAAGCGCTGGATCTCTGCACAGTCCTGGAACACCTGCTCTGCTGCCTTCATGGAGGCTGCCATGGGACAAAGCAAAAGGCCATTGAGGAGCTAGGGATAGGGACCAGGAGGACACTCCTGCCTGCTCCGTGCCAGGGTCTAGGCTGGGGAGGTAGTGGGGACATGGAGAGGAATCCAATCTGGGAAGGCTTCCTGGAGGAGGTGACACTGGCCTGGGACCTGGACAATGAGCAGGAGTTGGCTAGGTGGAGAGGGGGAGGGTGTTCCAGGCACAGGGAATAGCACATGCAAAGGCTCCAAGATGGAGAAGGTCCTATGTGTCTTACAGATAGGGTGCAGGGAGGGGCACTGAGGCACACCATGAGAGCAGAGCTAAGGCCTGGGAGAACCCTGGCTGTTTGATGTGCCTGAGAGGATTAGAGCGAGGCTGGAACAGAGAGGGCGAGGAATGAAGAGAAGAGAGATGAAGCTGACAGTTAAGCAGAGGCCGGGCCAGCCTCAAATGCCAGGCTGATGACTTCAGACCTGTTGTCTGAGGAAGATCACTGTGGCCAGAGTATGGAGTCAGCACTGGAGGGGATGAGACCCAAATCAGGGATACCAGGGAGGAGGCTGCTAAGGTGTTCTGGCAGAGGGCAGTTGGGGCCCGCATGCCAATGAGGTACTTCCCCATGGCACAGATGAGGAAACAGGCTTGAGAGTGAGGTGACAGGCCCTACGGCACACAGCCAGGTGGGACAGAGCCTTCCCTCTCCCCAGGTCTTGTGGAGGATCTGACTTTGGAGGTCCTTTAGTTGGGAGGCCCAGGGTTCCCCTCTGTAGCCACCCCTCCAGCTAGATCCCCTCCAGCTCTGGGAGTGGGCCCCTTATTCTGCCCATCCTGGGAGCTGAAAACAAGCCTTAAATAAAGGGCCTGTGTGCCTTCCCAGATGAGATCAGAAGAGTTAAATTTTAGGACTGAGACTCACTAAGACCCTGGGGTCTTCAGATCTGGTGCGGGAAAAGCGACTGTAGACAAACTGTGGAGAATAAAAATGCCCTCTCTGAGCCCTTGAGTGGATCCAACTAGAGGTTTGGGCTGAGATTCCACCAGAATCATATCTCTAGGTAGGTGGGGCTAAGGAGCTAGATGGATAGGTATTACCACCAATAAGGAACCAGGAAGCTATGGGGGGGGTAGGACTTCCTGTTTGGCCTGGCTCTTGGATCTTGGAGCTGGGGAATCCCACAGGAAGGGGCCCCTTAGTCTCTTATCACAAACGAAGTAACTGAGGTCCCCAAATCCATCCCAGCCCATACATAAACATTTCCTGGGCAGAGGTCCCCAGGGCCTCCCCCAACCCCCTCCTAGCTCCACACAGTCCATGAGGAATTACAGTCTGGACAAGCATGGGGAAGGTGCAGGCTCCAAAGTGAGCAGGGAGGGGCCCACGTGTACACAGTGAGGCAAGGCTGGAGCTGGGAGTTGGCCTCAGATTCCAGCCACATTTCCCAAAGCTCCGTCCACTGTTTACCTCCCTTTGTCAGCAATGATATCGATAACAGCAATAACAATAAAAATGAAATGCCAGCCATGTATTGTAGTGTTTCTTAAGGTGCCAGGCACTGTCAGAGGCTGTTTGGATCCAGAGAATATTTTTTGGGAGCACAGCAGTAAGGATGGACTGGTATTGACATGCAACATAGTTGGACCTGGGGATGGGCCCTTTTAGGACCTCTGGGCTAGTAACTTGCACCAGCTTTTCCCCCTTTTGGCCCATGGCACTGTGTTGAGCCCCTTCACTTGCAGGAACACATCTGATCGTCTGTGAAGTAGGTACCGTTATTATTCCCATTTTATGGATAAGGTCAGTTGAGTCTCTGAGAAGTTAAATGACTTGTGCAAAGTCCCAATGATAGTAAAGAAGAGCCAAGACTTCTCTGGCTGCAAAGCCAATGACCCTCCTACTATATGCCTCCCCTGGGGCCATTGCTGGGCCTAAATAAGGCTGGGTACACAGACAACACTCATGAATGCTGCTTCTTATGCTGTGCATGGGGTGGTCTTTGCCACCTGTGCCCCTGTCCTTCTAGCCTTGCCTGAACCAAACTCCCTAAAGGGAGAGCCTTGAAGCTCTTCTCAGTCTCTTGCCAGCCCTTACCTGCCCAGGATGAACTGCTACAAAGAAGTAGTGCTAATTTCCTGCTAGGCTTCAAGGGTGCCAGTTCCCGCAGCCCTCTCTGTCCACCCTCTACTGCACACCTGGGCCTAGCCTTCTGCTTCAGTTTCTCTATTTAGACAAGAAACTAAAACCAAACTCAGTGCTTCCGACTCATAGTGACCACTTCTTGGGTTTCCGAGGTGGTATCTCTACGGAAGTAGATTGCCCTATCTTCCTTCTGAGGACTGGCTGGTGGTTCCCACCAGCCTTCTGGTTAGCAGTCAAATGCCTTAGGCACTATACCACCAGAGCTCCCATTTATACAAGAGGGAGAAACTATCCCCTAGCATTCTTCTCTGGCGACAGTGGGGCAGGTGGATGGGGCACTTGTGCAAAAGGTGGCCAACGCGAGGTGCCTGACACAGCCTCCCACTCAGCCTGCTAAGCAGATAATCAGCGGTAGCTGGAGACTGGGCTAGTGGCGAGCCCGTGGGAGGGGTGCTGGGCCCAAGCCTAGTGCCTTGGGCTGAGCTACAGAAATGTACACATGGGATTCATCTCAGCTGCCTCACTGCCAGGGCTTTGCATAAGTTGGTAATGGGTTAGGGTCACTCCACATCTTGTGGGTTGGAAGGCATGCACCTTCAGTCCACTCGTGGCTTCCTTGGGCCTCAAGCTCCTACTCAGTAGGGCCATGGGCCATGGGGAGCCATGCAGGGTCCTCTGCCCCTAGTCCCTGCCTGCTACACCTCCTGGAATCCCACCACTATTGCCCAACTCCTTTGTACCTTGAAGATTTTCTATGGAGATCCAATAGCAGTAGGAACCACTTCGTCGATCTTTCTCTCACACAAAAGTCATTCTCCACTCTAGTTCCTAACTGAACTTCCTAAAAGACAATCTCATTCTGTTCAAAGCCCCTGCTGGCTCCTCAGGGCCCTCAGGTTAAAATCTTCTCTTATCCCAAGCACAGCCTTTAAGCCTTCCAGGGTCCGGAAACTTCAGGAACGCTACTAGCAGAGTGTCTGACACACAGTAGGCACTCAACACACATGCATATCCTTCTGCTTCCTTCAAGAACCACAGACACAGTATTTTTTGCAAGAGATAGGAGCCGCAGCTGTCCTGTTTACTGCCGTATCCTAGCACCCAGCACCAGGGCTGGCACACAGCGAGTGCTCAGTAAATGTTGACTTAATAATTGAAGTTGGACTCGAGAATGCCTTGCCCATCCCATCCCAAGTGGGTCCCATTAGAAGGAATCAGAGAGCTGGGGAGTTGGCCCAGGCAGCCTTCTCCGATCTCAGAAGCCAGGGATACTGGCACCTCTGCACCTCCACTTGGCTTGGCTCTCTAGGTGCAGGGCTGGGGGCATTAGGGTGGGAGAAGCCCTTGGGAAGCACTGAGGTCAAGCTCCTGATTCTATAGGGAGAGAAACGAGATCCAGGGAGAGGTATGGGAGAATCCAAGTAAGGGGGGTGGCGGGGTGGATACAGGAACCCAAACCTGTCAGTCTGAATCCGTGTTGTCTTCGTTATAATCATCACCTCCCTTAAACAGATGGGGAAACTGAAGCCCAGAGAGGGACAGGGGCATGTCCAAGGTCACCCTTGGCATGAGGGAAAGGAGGAGGGGCGATGGGTGCGGCGTCTCGATTGGCTCTTGTTGCTGTCGCCATTATCATTGTTCTGTTGTTATTTCTATTTAACTGGTGGGGAGACTGAGGTCAGAGGGGGTGAAGCCTTTTCAGAATGGGTTCCAGCCTCGGCCCCCCGACCCCCGCTGCCGCGGTTGAACAGAGGGACTGCATTCATTACCCCTGTGCCCCACACCCAGGCGCACCCAGCTCGCTCACCCGGGCCCTGGGCGACGACGCGCACCAGCCGCTGCACCGACTCCAGCAGCTGCCGCTGCTGGCGCTGCAGGAGACTGGAGTTGCTGCTGGCGGCGCGCAGGCTGCGTTCGAGACCAGCGAGGGCGCCGCTCTGGCGACCCAGCAGGCGCTGCAGCCGCTCCTTCTCGCCGCGGAGGTTGGCCAGCTCCGCCTGTTGTTGAATTTCTAGGGCCTGCACCCGTGACTCCAGTGCGCTGTGGAGCAGGGGCGCACAAGGGTGAGCCCGCGTGCCGATGAGTTGGCCTTCCGGCCAGGCATTCACACCCATACGCTTTCCCCTGGGCCCAGGGCGACTCAGAGATACAGAGTGGCGCTGAAGCTCAGAGAGGTAAAACGCCCTGCCCACGGTCACACAGCTTGGCAGTCCGTGCCCAAAGTCAAAAAACCAAACCAAACTCACTGCCATAGAGTCGATTCGACTCATAGCGACCCTCTCCTTGAGTTTCTGAGGCGGTATTTCTACGGAAGTAGATTGCCCAGTCTTCCTTCCGAGGAGTGGCTGGTGGGTTTGAACTGCAGTTAAATGCCTTAGGCACTAGGCCACCAGAGCTCCTGTGCCCAAAGTAGGCACTTCTATATTTGGCACAGAGAGAGGAGAAAAGAGAGTTCCTGGATTGAGGGACTGGGGTGGCAGGGAGACCATTATACTAGAGTGAAACCTGTGAGAGTCAGGATTCTATGGTACTATCTTATTTTTCCAGGTCTCGAAAGTTTTCTGCCTTTGACAGGGTTTGACTATGTTTCCTATTGCTCTCTGTTAGTAGAAAGTATTTGAGCTTTCCTTCTCTGATCATTTCCACCTTCCACAAGCTCCAGCTTCTGCAGGTTTTACTGTAGGTGCCCAGTTATAATGACGTGATCCCCAGATGAAGAAAGTAAAGAAAACCAGGGTAGAAGGAATTTTCCCTGAACCCCAAATTATGCCACGGGAAGAGAGAATTTGGACGCATTAGGGTTCTAGACATCAAGGCGTCTCCATGCGCCAAGAGCTTGTTGATGGTGTCAGCTTTGCTGCTTTCTAGGCGGCTGGTACCAATTCAGAGTGATTGGAAGTGTCCCAGTCCTTGCCTTCCTCCAACCTGGACAATCTGTCATGAACGGTGTCCAGATCAGAGGCAGCCAGCCAGCCTCATGGCCTTCTCCTGACCCAGCACGAATTGAACAACATCTGTCCTGTTGACAGGCCAGTGGCTCGTTTACTGTGTGGGTTTTGTCCCCTTCAGTAGCCTGACCTTGGCAGTATTTTCTCTACTCAGCTTGAAGCTGAGATGAAATCAGCTTCCGATGTCGGATTTCTCTGCCTTATCTATAACCTGTGACTATTTTTTTCTTTGTAATTTAAAGGGTGTTCCTCCCATGCACATTGGCTCATAAATGCAGACACCCTCTCTGGTCCTGCAGATGAGAAACTGGTCAGGGCCCTTGCTTCTGGGCTGGGAACAAGGTGGATGGGAGCAGATTTGTTTATTTACAAATAAGCACATTAAATTAAAATTTACAAGGTGAATTGTATGACATGTGAATTATATCTCAATCAAGCTGTTACAAAAAGTAAGAAAGAATCAAAGGAGCAGGGTGTCCTAAGCCCTAGGAAAATGGCTGCCCTACATTCCCCACCCAACATAGGAGACTTGGGCCTTGGGGCCACCTGTCCCCCATCCCCACCCAATGCAGGAGACCCAGGACTTGTGGCTACCTGTTCCCCATCTCCCCACAATGTGGGAGACCCAGCCCTTGTGGCCACCTGACCCTAGCCCCAACCCGGCCCGGTACCCATCTTCATTCCCAGCTTCAGTCTTTGGTCTTATCCTTATCCCAGCCCTAGTCCCCATTTCTAGGTAAAGCTCTAGTCCCCTAATTGTTCCCTTGTCTCAGTCCTAATCTAGGCCCATAGACCCAGCCCCAGCCCTTGCCCCAGACCCCAGCCCAAGTGTTGTCCCTAATCCTGGCCTCTAACCTCAGTCCCAGCCCCGGCCCCTGTCCTGCTCTGTGCCAGTTGCCTACCTGTTGCGGCCCTGCAGCCGGTGGAGCTCATGGCCCTGCAGCAGCAGTTGCTTCTCCAGCTTGTTGGTGGACAGTGAGGTCTCCAGCAGCTGGATCTCCATGCGCGATGTCTGGTTCAGGACCTGGTCCAGCAACCAGGGGCGATGGGGGCCACATAAGCCTGATAGGAGCTCTGCCCACAGCAGCAGCCCACCTGCCCATGGGCCCTGCCATTCCAGAAACTGAATGACCTCTTTCCCCCACCCGATCATCAGTTCCTGTGGTCATTCATGCATGCATTCATTCACTGACTTGCAGGCCCTAACTGACCTTATGGTCTGTTCCCTAAACCATGTCTTCCTTGTCTCCATTTCTCCTGCTGCTCAGGCTTCCCCATCCAATCCTTCAGTCCAGTCAGCTCCACCTTCCCTGTGGGTATCTGACCATATCTTTCCCCTACACGGCTCCCACCATGGCCCTGTTGTTCTGTGCCAGCCTCCTCACAGGGCTCCCTGCTCCCACCCTGACCCCTTACAGTCCATTCCCTACTCAGCAGCCTGGGGGTACCCTTTAAAAACATCCCTCCTCTGCTCAGAATCCTTCTGTGGCTCTCATCCCTAGCAGTGGCAAAGGTCCAGCCCTCACTATAGCCTGCAAGGCTCTGTGATCCGAGTCATCGCCCACCACTCTCCCCTGCACTTTCTGCAGCCATGCTGGCCTCCTCTGTGTCCCTAGAGCCTGACAGCATGGTCCTACCTCCGGGCTTTTGCACTGTGCTCTTCTCCCCATGTGAAACAGTCTGCCTCCAGCCTGGCGCCAATCCTCCCTTCTTGGTGATGTCTTCCTGACCATGCTGTCTAAAAGTGGAAGCCTCACCGTCCCACCGCTCCCAACACACTCTGTCCATCTCTCTCTCTCCCAATCTTTTTTTCTCCTTCATACTAGCATCATCCACCATGTTACATACTTGATAGTGTTCATGTTCTTTATGCAATAAACAGTAGACCCAGGCATCTCCAACAATGCCTGGTCCATAGTCAGGGCTCAGTAAAGATGTGCCTACTTGCCATGTGTTTGTTCATCTATTCACTGCCCAGCCCTCCCATTTACTCATGAGTTCCCTCTCTCCCTTCCTCCCTTTTTCCCACTGTTTTGTTGTGTTAGGTGCTGTTGAGTCAATTTTGAGTAACAGCGACCCCCTGTGACAGGGTGGAACTGCCCCATAGGGTTTTCTAGGCTGTAATCTTTATGGGGGAAGATTGCCAGGTCTTCATCCTGCAGAGCCACTGGGGGGATTCAAACCACCCACCTTTTGGTTAGCAGCTGAAAGCTTAACTGTTGTTCCACCAGGGTTCCTTCACTGAAGTCTAATGACTTGTTAATTGTCCACCTTTCCCAGTTTACTGTGAGCCCCTGAGGGTGGGGAAGTGGGCTGCTGCCCCCATCTCCATGTATCCCTTCATGCCCAGCACAGAACCAATGCTCTAAGTAGGTGCTCAGTAAATATTTTGGAAACAGACAAGGAAGGCCTCGTGCCTGGGACTCTGTACTGTGGCCTGCTGGGCCATGTGGAAAGGTGAAGGGACCAATAGCAGAAGTTGGCTTTGTCTGGAGAGAGGCCTGGGTTGTGTGTAGAATTAATGGAATGGAGACTTACTGAGTATTTACTTTATACCAGGCACGGTGCTGGGCACTGGAGTCACAGAGGCAGAAAAGCCACACCCAGTGTCTATCCCCTGGGGCTCACAGCCTGGGGGAGAAGCTTTGTATAGAATCATCAGGCAGGGAGCTGAGGGGCCTATGGGCCCTGACCTCCCCAGGGACATGGTCAGAGCAAGGTGATGGGGCTGAGTCTTGGGCTGTGAGCTGGCCTGGCCTCCCACAGTGCACACCCACCTGCCCACTGCTCCCTCTGTACCTGAGCCTCCACGTCGGTCAGCTTGCGGGTCTGGGCGGTAGTCTGGTTCAAGAGGCTGGTGCCCAGCTCAAGCATGGTGGCTGTCTGATTCTGGACCATGTGCTGCTGGGCCTGTGCCAGCTCGGACCTCAAGTTCATCTGGATGTACCTCTCTAGCTGTGGGGAGACCATGGGCTGGGGTCATGGGCACGGGCTGGGGAAGGCTTCTGCCCCTTCCACATGCCTCCATGGAAGTGGATAGAACCAGCAGGGCATAGGCCACCATTACCTCTCACCTGGCCTCTCACCCGGCCTATTCCAGCAGCCTCTTCTTTGGCCTCTCTGCCCCTCATACAGCCTATCCTCCTTTTGGCAGTCAGAAGGATCTTGTTAACCTAAGTCAGGTAATATCTTTCCTTTGTTCAAACCTTTCCCAGGGTTCCCATCTTACTCATGGGAAAAGCCAAAGTCCTCACCGTGGCTGCAGGTTCCTCCAAGGCCTGGCTTCACTACTACCCTGATTTCCTCCTCAATCTCCCTTGCCTACTCTACTGCCTACATTGGCCTCTATGAGATTCATCCAACACATCAAGCATGACTCACTCTCTCATATCATTCCATGTCATGTCATTCCAGGTCTCTTCACACTACTTCTCACTCCTTGACTTTGTATTTCTCTACGGTTCTTCTCACCCTCTAGAAGATCAATTCCATGAAGCTAGAGATTTGGTCATGTTCTACACTTTATATCTGTGTCTAGCACAATACTTGGTGCATAGTAGGTGCTCAAGTATTTATTCAATGAATTGATGGAAAATGGGGAGCAGCAAGGGTTAGAGCACAGTCCCCAGTGTCATGGCCTCTGCCCAGCTTCCTAGGGCTGAGCCAGCCAGCAGGGACACACTTCTTTACCCTATACAAGAGTTTGTAGGTTTGTCCACTGAGGTGTACTTTCTGTTTTCTTGCTCCAAGCTTCTCCATCTGGCTCATGGGGTTGGGCCCATCAGCCTCCAAGGTTCTTTCTCCCAGCTGTGATGTTCTGGGATCTGATACACTAGTGTTCATCTCTTTGACAGAGCTGCATTCTTTCCGAAAAGCAGAAGTTGGTCAGGATTAAGTTGTGAAGGTGGAACTGAGTGTTCTCAGGGCTCATTGCAGAGGGCTGCTCCTCATTCTCAATCTCCACATGTGCTGGGTTTTCACCCCACCACCCCCAGTAGGCTCCTTCCCTCTGCCTCCACTCAGTCTCCAGGAGGCCAGATAGGACAGCTTCCAGGGCCCCTGGGAGGACTACTAGTGCACCCCAAGGAGAGGTAGTGACCAGGGGGGAGCAGGCTTAGAATGATAAAAGGTGAGGAGCTGGGCTCAGACCACTTTCTCCTTTATCTTTTCCTCCTCCTCCATCTCAACTGCCAGCTCCCTTCCCTGGACTGCTTTTGAAGAATCACGTTCTATTATTGCAGGGAAAGGTCAAATTCAGGAGGGGGTGCATGTGAGGAGGGGGGACTGGTATTGATTAGAGCAAAAAAATAAAAAAAACAAACAGAACTCACTGTTGACTCCTCGTGAGCCCTCCTTGGGTTTCTGAGGTGGTATCTCTAAGAAGTAGATTGCCCAGTCTTCCTTCTGAGGAGTGGCTGGTGGGTTTGAACCTCCAGCTTTCTGGTTAGCAGTCAAATGCCTTAGGCACTATGCCACCACAGCAGCAGCTCTCAAAGTGTGACCCCTGGATAGCATCACCTGGCAACTTGTTAGAAATGCACATTTTCAGGTCCCATTCCAGATCTCCTGGATCAGACAGACACCCTGGGGTGGTGCCCAGTAATCTGTTTAAACAAGTCCTTTAGGAGATTCTGATGTGCCTCAAGTATGAGAACCAAGTGTAGTGATCACAGAGGAAACTGAGGACCAGAGATGAACATGCAGAGGCTCTCCGGGATTTGGTCACTTTGGCTCCTTTCTCCTTGCCCCCTCCCCACATCATCACTTCCCCCACAAACATGCTCTAACAGCTCCCATCTTATAATTGAAAACAAAACAAAAAACCCTTGACCTCACAACACCCTCTGGTTGCTACCTCAATTTCTTTGCTCTGCTCAACAACAAAACTTCTTGAACAAGTTGTTTCAATTTTCTCCCCTCTATCTCTCTCCTCATCTTTTTTTTTTTTTTGACATTACAATTTCATTATGGTATACTTCACACATGCAAAAATAAATAAAGAATAACATAATGAAAATACACACACTTACTGCTCTCCATAAAATAATATCATCCATGAAGTTGAATCCTGTGCACTCCCCAGTCACATTCCTCCAATTCCATGGAGTCCCCCCCACTCATTAACCTGCCTTGTTATGGTCCTCTTTGACATCAAACTCACTTCGGTGTCCATATCTTACTCAACATCTCAGCAACAGTCAACCAATGTCCACTCCCTCCTTCTGGAAGCACTTCCCAGACATTATACCCTCCTGGTTTTCCTCCTACCCTGTGTCACTCCTTCTCTAACTCCTTCTTTACTAATTCATACATGTCAGGGGGCTCCCATCACCCAATCCTAGGCCCTTGTCTCTGTACATTTTCTTCTTAGGCCAGAAGTCCTTAATGGGGGCTACACGGTTGGTGGTGAGAATTTAGGGAGTCTGGGAACTTATCCACCACTCGTCTGTCGGTTTGTAGTACTGTGGTGGCTTGTGTGTTGCTGTGAGGCTGGAAGCTATGCCACAAGTATTTCGAATACCAGCAGGGTCACCCAGGGTGGAAAGGTTTCAGTGGAGCTTCCAGACTAAGATTGATTAGGAAGAAAGAAGAGGTGGTCCACTCCTGAAAAAATTAGCCACTGAAAACCTTATGAATGGTAGTGAAACATTGTTGATATAGTGACCCTCAGAGCCCCTCAGGTTGGGAGACATTGAAAATATGACTGAGGAAGAGCTACCTTCTCAAAGTAGAGGTGACCTTAATGACATGGATGGAATAAAGCATTTAGGGCCCTCATTTGCTGATGTGGCACAACTCAAAATGAGAAGAAAGATTGCAGACATTCATCACTAATTGGAACATGGAATGTACAAAGTATGACACTAGGAAAATTGGAAGTTGTACAAAATGAAATGGAATGTATAAAGATTGATTCCTAGGCATTAGTGAGCTGCAATGGACTGTTAGTGGCCATTTTGAGTTGGACAATAATATGATCTACTAGCCAGGAATGACAAATTGAAGAGGAATGGCATCACATTCATTATTGACAAGAATATTTCAAGAACTATTTGAAGTACAATGCTATCAGTGACAGGATAATATCCATATGTCTTCAAGGAAGACCAGTTAATACTACTATTATTCAAATTTACACACCAGTCAAAGATGAAGAAATTGAAGATTTTTACCAGCTTCTGAAATTGACCAAACATGCAATCAAGATGCATTAATAACTACTGGTGATTAGAATGTGATAGTTGGAAACAAAGGATAAGCATTGGTAGTTGGAAAATATGGCCTTGGTGATAGAAATGATGCCAGAGATGGCATGATAGAATTTTGCAAGACCAACAACTTATTCTTTGCAAATATCTTTCTTCAACAACATAAATGGCGTCTATACACATGGACATAACTAGATGGAATACACAGGAATCAAATTGACTATATCTGTGGAAAGACATAATAGAGAAGCTCAATCTCATCAGTCAGAACAAGGCCAAAGGCTGACTGTGGAACAGACCATCAGTTGCTCATATGCAAGTCTAAATAGAAAAAAATGAAAACAAGTCCATGAAAGCCAAAATACAACCTTGAGTATATCCCACCTGAATTTAGAGACCATCTGAAGAGCAGACTTGGTGTGTTGAACACCTATGACTGGAGACCAGATGAGTTGTGAGATGACATAGAGAACATTGTACATGAAGAAAGCAAAAGGTCATTAAAAAGACAGGAAAGAAAAGACCAAAATGGACGTCAGAAGAGACTCTGAAACTTGCTCTTCAACATGGGGTAGCTAAAGAGAATGAAAAAATTATGAAGTAAATTTCTAAACAGAATATTTCAAAGGGCAGTTAGAGAGACAAAGTGTAAATAAAGTATTATAATGAAATGTGCAAAAATCTGGAGTTAGAAAATGAAAAGAGAAGAACATGCTTGGCATTTCTTAAGCTGAAAGAACTGAAGAATAAATTTAAGCCTTGAGTTTCAGTATCAAAGGATTCTATGGGCAAATATTGAACAATGCAGGAAGCATCAAAACAAGATGGAAGGAATACACAGACTCACTGTACCAAAGAGAA